GACAACTGTCTCTGGGCTGGCAGACCTCCGACCTGCATAGGTTTCAGAGTAGCAGCCCTATTAGTCTGTATCTGCCAAAAGAAAAGGAGTACTTGTGGCACCTTAGAGACTAACATTTCTTTGAGCATAAGCTGTAGCTCACGAAAGCTTATGCTCAGATAACTATGTTAGTCTCTAAGGTGCCACAAGTACTCCTTTTCTTTTTGCTGACCTGCATAATGTTTCAAACACTAACGGGGGGCTACATGAGTTCAGAGGTCTGTCTAAAGGGAACCAGTTTCAGGATCAGGGCCTAGGTTTTTCATTTCTAAAACCACTGCCAATAACTTGCTTGAAAATCACCAAAAGTTAGGACAAAACAAAACAGAAAGGAAATCATAATTATTTTCTACAAGGCTGGAGAACAGTGGATGGTCTTATTCATCATCACATAATGGCATCTTACATTTATATAACACTTTTCAGTAGGGTTTTAGATTACAACTGACTAAAATATAGCTGAAGCAAACATCTGAGATATGCTTTTATAAAATACACATAACCCACGCCCAGATAATCATATCTGACGAGCTGAAAATTGTTAGCAAAGGTGTCCGCAGACCCTAAAATTCTCCCACACTCACTGAGACCTCATCCTTGGGAAAGTGAGGCTTTAAAAAGGTCCTCCTTTATATATAACAAAAGAAAGCTGTCTTTTTAATATTTGTATACTCCTGAAAACTATACCCATCATTTGCCTAAACAGAGACATGGAAAGGAGGGAAAATATATACCACTAACCTGAAACCCTAATTTAATCATTTTCTACAGTGGCCTGAAAACAGTGGGTTACTTTACATATATAACAACAATTTAAAAAAAGATGGATGCAAGCACGCCCTCCTGCAAATTGAAGGTCAGAAATTTGAGGATGAATCTCTGAGCTTCCCTTATGGAGCCTGAGCCAAAGCTCATGTAAATCAATGGGCTTTGGATCAACATAGGTGTTAGGGAATCCCTGAAGACCTGTGCCATTCATGCAGATTCACTATTCTTCCATGGCTCTTCTGGGCTACGCTGCAGTCTGTCTCCATAAAAGCTACACTGCAAAAATTTCCTCAGTAGAGACTGCTCCTTGTAATGCCTTTAAAGGAAACTTCTCAAGTGTGAAGTGGCTCCACTATGAAGTGAAGCCTCAAGCAGATTTAGTGCTGGTTGCCTTCTGAGATGACATATGCATGTTGGTCTGCTCCCGGTGCAGGGGTTCTGGGAAGGGGCAGAGATGGTGCTATGGAGATGGATTTAAACTGGACATGATCTGAAAACCAGCCTCTCTATCATCCTTTCAGAGCTGTTGCCAGAAAAGCAGTATTTGAATGGTTCATCATGGAAGCAAAGCCTATTTCATTCCATCAGAGAGAAGCAGGACACTGCACTTGGCAAATCCAATAAACATATCAACTTATTAGTGTGTCTGTCTCACACACAGAAGTCTCTACATGGCAAAGAACAGGTCATTTCCCAATGCACTAGAGCTTCCACTTGGTCTAAAAACCATGATAATAAAAAATTCATACATGATAAGAATGACAACATAGCTTCCCCAGAATCCAAACCTGAGCTTGGTGGATAGCACTGATGAAAGATGTGAGACTCAGTCCTGGAGACATCTATTCATGCACAGATACACACAGTTACACAGCATGTACAGCAAAGGCAGTAAAAGTGAAAACGTGTCCATTTTGCCACACCAGTGTGCCTGAAAACCCTATAAGTCTGGAAGGAGGAGTTCACATTCCCTACTTGACCTTTCCATAGTGATTGCTAGCAAGGGTTCCAATTAGTGCTACTGGTGATTATTGTGTGTGTTTTAAGGTGGACACTTATCTATACAGAACTGAACTTGACCAGCTCATTTCACCTAAGCCACTAATTTGCTGATTTTTAAGAGGCTACTCAACAGCTTGACATCATTGCAGCAGTTGAAGTCAAACTTAATTTTTAAAAGCTTTTATAAAATAAAAACATCTCACAATTTCTCCTATAATAATTTCACAAAAATTATTATAAAAGCAGATAATCTTCTTTGATGTGTTTATTTTCTTGCTTGGTTTTCTACAAGTCATTTTTGCTCTCTTACTTATGAAGCATACATGGCATGTTGGAATAGTTTTCCAGCATGTGAAAAGTAACCTATTACTACAGAAATACAAATTATTTCTACTGCACACACAGCACTTTGGGCACAACAGCCAGAGAGAGAGTGTCAGTCAGTCAATATCAAACCCAACAAACTGAATCAACAGTCTGAAAGCACAGGTAGCATCAGTGACGAAAACAAAAAAAAAGCAGGACAGAAAGCAGCATTGGAATATGCTCACCTCCACTGTGCCAACAAATTAGGTGATGCACAGCTAACTGTTCTATTTGTTAAATCCAAGTTATTTTAGTATTGGTGGGAGACAAGGAAGGGTTATTTTTAAACTAGGGTTGCTTTGACTTGTTACACCTGGTGATTTCATTTGATAAATACCATAGCTCCAAGCAAGGTCATTTGATGCCTCATGTGTTGCTCAAACCACCAAGATAATTTATTAGGATATTAGAAGCCCTGGGTAAATTTATCCCACTAAATGTTACTCTACTTTTCTCTGTCTTCCCAACTCCATCTCGTGCCTGTCTTTCTAGCTCTGTCTCTCTCTTCCTCTTTTTCATCCTGCCTTCCACTTTTATCCATGTCTTTCCTCTCACCATAGATCAGTGAGACAAAGTACCTACCTTGAATTGCGCACACTTCGCTCAAGTTTTGCAGACATGCAAACTGAGTACAATTATTTGACCATTTAGCCCTTTTGTCATCCGTTGATCTTTGGTAGGAAGATGAAAAATCAATATGAGTCTCTAAAAAGAGGCAGGGCTCTGAGAGAGGTAGCAGGCTGAGACAGAATGAGGCTTAGTGTATGAACATAAAAGCAGAGCTTTACAAAAACTCTATAATATAGATGAATAACTTTTCTGCAGCCATAAACAAGGCACCACTACAGATCTGTACAAACTGTTTTCATACACAGGGTTGAGTACAATTTATAGAACTCTCCCCAAACCCAGAACTCTCCCAAAAAGGAACTCATTTAGAGAGCTGTAACAGAGAGGTCCTGAGATTCTAAAGAGGTGAGATTGGAAAGGTCCAGAGAAACTGAAGAGGTGAGAGAAGAGGCATCCTGAAAGGTGAGGTCAGAGAGGTCCAGAAAGGGTGAAGAGACGAGATTAGAAACATCCAGAGAGGTTGATAAGGATAAATCAGAGGAACCCTGAGATGTTAAAGTGTTAAAATTAGTGAGGTCTAGTGAGGGTGAAGAGGTTGAAGAGGTGAGATCAGATACATCCAGAAAGGGTGAAGAGACTGCATAAGGAAGGTCCAAGGAAGCTGAAGAGGTGTGACTGGAGAAGTCTAAGGAGGGTGAAGATGAGAAACTGGAGAGGTCCAAGGAGGCAGAAGAAGTGGAACCGGAGAGGTCCAAGGATACCGAAGAGCTGGGATTAGAAAGGTCCAGAGACCCTGAAAAGGTGAGACTGGAAAGGTCCAACGAGATTGAAGAGGTGAGACTGGAGAGCTGCAAGGAATCTGAAGACGTGAGACTGGAGAGCTCCAAGGAAATTGAAGTGGTAATGCTGGAGACATCCAGAGAGGCCAAAGAGCTGCAACTAGAGAGGTCCAGAGAAGATGAAGAGGCGAGATCAGAGAGGTCCAGGGAGGATGAAGAAGTGTTGCTCGAAAGGTCCAAAGAATCTGAGGAGCTGAGACTGGAGAGGTCCAACGAATCTGAAAAGATGAGTTTGGAGAGTTCTAAGGAGGCTGAAGACTCAAAAATGGAGGGGTCCAGGGAGGCCAAAAAGGTGAGACCAGGGAGTTCCAGGGATGCTGAAGAGACTGAAAAGCCAAGTAAATCCACAAAATGATTGGTGTCTTATACAATCATAGGCAGATTCAGCTAAAACTCTCCAACAATGAAAATGCTAAGAAAATATAAAACAATGAGAACATGAAAACCAATTAATATTACTACTGAAAGTAACTAAACACAGATTTCACTCTGGGATTTTAATCAACTAAATTCTAAAATTACAAGCTCACAGCACTATCCCTTAGAACACTAGCATTTGCCAGAATCCCAGACAAGTAAATGCATAGAAGCATTTGTGCATCAGTATGTATCTGTCTTTTTAAGTGTATCTATGTCTCTAGACCATAATCTATGCAAAATCTTAGCACAGGACCCTCCAAATACCCTCCTGTTACATACACAGGCTCATCACCTTGTCTGATGATTTAAAATAAAATAATAATTAAATAAGAGAATGAAAATTACTAAACTTTCTTTTCAACTTCTGGTCTCCAGATACCAGAGGGCATTTGGTGCCATAATAATTAGAGTGGAATAAATGCCATTGCAGACAGATATTTGTTTAAACTGTAAGCCATTAAAAACCAATGTAGTTGTAAATGGCAAGTGAGAGTCCTACTTGACCTATCATTATAAAGATATAATGGATCATTTCTTTTTCATCTGAATCAATGCTGAGAGAGGTGGCATAATTCAGCAAAGTGCACCTCCTTGAGGACATTAATAGAGATGGAAAAGAAAACAGTAATTCTCTCAGCAATAAGTGTTGGTTTATTTTGGGGGGCCAATGTCATTCCAAATTGCCTTCACAACTAATTAAGAAACCTATTGAAAAGGTCTGGCAGCTTCTAATATGCTCTTTTATTTATTTTATATAGTGGTCCCATCTAATCCCTTGTCATTTTTTATTTTGGGTGTAATTCTTAATAAAATAAAGATGATCTTTAATTTGTGGGCACTCTGGCTGCCTTAATAAACTATATTGAAGAGATCAATTATGATAAAAAGATAATACACCCATTTTAATCCCAGAGTGAGAATAAAGCTTGGCAAATGGTCAGCAAAGCCACAGAACATAAGCAATATATAACTAAAAAGGGAACTGAAAACTTCAAATTCTAGTTCACAATGGTGCCTTTAATATACTTTGGGATAGATCACAAGGTGAGAATTCTACAGCTGCTCCTGGCCCCTCAAGATTGCATAGCAAGACAGTCAGCAGTTCCAATCTTACTGATACCAGTTGTCATGATGGGACACATGGCACAGATGTATTTTAAAAAAATCATTACAAACATATATTCACTCACAGTTGTGTTCAAACACAGTATATTGGGCCAGGACCAGTAAGGCATGCACTCATGATGCAAGGCTGCAATTTCTCAGGTGGTTAGGAACACAGCTTAACTTTGTCTGTATCATCATCTGACTGAGGTGCAGACACACGCATAATTGATTTAATGTCATCACTCCCACTAAGGTTGCTTCTTAGTGAAGAGAAGTGTCTACTAGACACCAACTGAAGTCAACAGGAGTTTGGTCGTAACATGTACAGACTGATGAACATAGGAATTTGGCACCAGATGAAAAATATTTCATTCTACAAAATAAAATTCACATATGCAACAATACAAGTCCTAAACAAGACTGAATTATCAAATAAACTTTACATTTATTTTTAATAAACCGGTGATTTTAGAGGTCATCCAATATAATTGTCATCTTAACAAGTGTACAAAATATATGGATCAGGATGGCAAAATACATGAAAATCTCTTGCCACACAGGTTTCAGTAATGGTTATGATGATCATATAAATATGCTCACTCTCCTTCTTCCCTTGCACACTTGATGAAACAACAAAAATTATGAACCACCTCTGAGAAATCCTTTCCCATCTAATGCATAAGGATCCGCCATTCTGTAACTGTCTCTCTTCAGATTCAAAAGTTTCACAGATGCACATTACAATAAAAAGCAAATCATTATAACTAAGCTAATCACAATACAATGAAAAGCCAATATTGACATGATTTCCAACACATTACAGATTTCAGTGTCCCTTCACTGCGTTTCTTCTGCATTTGTTTAGAGTGGCAGAGCTACTCTGCTTTTCCTGTGAAATGACACACATTGGAGGAACATGGAAGCATAATCATTACTGCACAGAACATACACTGAGCTTTAATAATACTTCATACCTTCTCTAGTTGTGGATTTGTCTCCTTTCTTCCCTAGTGTGAGCCATATTGGGCTCGGACTGTTCAAGCTCTGCTGTGCTTGCTGCAGATGACCCTAATCTGTTCAACAGCTACTGGAAATCATGTCATGCTGATTAAAATACAGGTAATCTTCTGATAAATCCCTAACTGCCTCGATGAAGCACTCATCATGGAGCACTAGTACATAATACTGTACTCTGAAATTATCTACAATTTTAATGTAAGGTTGCAGTTCTGTATTGTTTTCTATTACAGAGCTAGATTTTGGAGATGAGCTGGTGATATGGATGAACCCATTTGGTGTTTTTTAACGTTTGGACATTTGGATTCAACTCCGGGTTTAGAATGTAAGTAAAAATGACTTTGACAGTGAAATTCTAATTTTCAGTTGTCCTCTCCACAAATTAGACACAATTTGGCAGTCTTATCTGACTATTCTCTAGAGAGACATAGGTCTGGAATAATAGGGGCATTGTGGGGTCAGGATTCAGTCCACATTTACTAGTTACAAATAACTATTGCAAATGATATATTTAATGACTTTTTCTTGTTCTTTTAATTTAAAATATATTTAATGGTCTTATGCCCTGTCAGTTGTAACATAATACAGGGGTTTTTTGGTAAATGTCAAAGCGTTTTACAGAAGATAGTAAATAACACTGGGTACAATTTTCTAAAGCACCTAAGTGACTTAAAAGCCTTGTCAAAAGCAGCTAAGACACTCAGGTGTGGGATTCACAAAGGTACTTAGGCACCTAACTGCCCTTGAAATCACTAAATACCTTTGTGAATCCTGACCCACAATGCCCCTAGCAGACTAAGTGTTTGCTACACAGTGCATTAGTCCACTCTAGAGGGGTGTAAATTCTATGTGCACTAACTGGCCCATGTGGATCCCAATGGTGTGCATTAAAAATTCGCTAGTGCATATTAATGTAATACTGTTTGAAACCGGACTACATTAATATGCACAAGGGAACTTTTTAGTTCATGCCAGCAGGGTCCACCTGGGCCAGTTAGTGTGCAACATGCTAAAATTCACACACCTCTAGTGCAGACTAAGGCACCATGTAGACAAGCCCTAAGTTCCAGTGAAAGTCAATGAGACTTAGGCTTCTAAGCCACTTAGACACTTTTGAAAATTTTACCCATTTTACAGATGAGGAAATTGAGAAATAAAGTTGCTTGTCTAAAATCAGACAGTGGCAGAGTCAGAATTATAACCCAGGTCCCTTAACTCCCAATCCCACGTCCTATATATTAGACCATGCTGCTACTACTACTTGTAAGTAAGTTTAAAACTGTCTGCAAACATGATTATGCCCAAGCATACTTGTAACACAGCTCTGAGTTAAGCAGAACAGTGCTTGTTTTCAAATATGGTGGTAATCAAGCTAGCCTCTTTTGGTGCTCCAGAATGTAAATGGCTTTAGGACCCGATACTCTTCAAGTTGCTGTAAACTGGGCTCTTCACCTCAAGCCATGCTACTGCTTCTATATTTTGCTCTCTCTTAGTGGTTTGGGACATTTCCTGCTTCAAAAGCAGCAAAGGGTTTTAAAAATTCTAAATCAGAAGCAGGTTACTTATTCATCTTAATTTCAATGCAGTGAATATAAAAACATCAATCCCAGAGTCCAGACACCTTTGACAAGTGATTATAAATGCAATCCAATGAAGACACAAACAGCAGCAACAAGCTCATAAACTTGCTACACAGAAAAGAAGCCACTGCACAAAGCTAAAATTTCCCCACCTCACTTCCCACAAAACTCTAGTCTAGCCCCAAATAAAATTCACATCCCAGCTGAACATTTTATTGTGCAACTGCCCTATGACTCAACACTACTTCTGTTAGATTCCTAAATGTTGTTTGGTTAGTTTAAAAGAATAATTTCAGCTCAAACCACAGCACCAGGAGAAGCAGCAAACATGCACCAGCTCGGCTTGAAGCAAACCTTCCAGCTGATAGGAAAGCAACAAAAGGCTATAATGTAAAGATTGTACTTCATATTTAATTTAAAAATAAAGACAAAAAAAGACAAAAAATCCCGAGGCTGCCAGCTAATCAGATGTCTCCCCTTTTCAATGGAATTATACAAATATTATTAACTGTATATGTAGCCCCATATGTTTACATGTTACTTTACAAACATAGGCCCTGATCCTGTAAGCCTCTCCATGGAAGCAGACGTCTACACCTTCATAGAACCCAAATTGACAGAGACTTGCCCCAGTGGAGCTGCTTGCAGGATCAGGGCCGTAAAACAAAACAAGTTTCTTGCTCTGTCTTTGAAATCCACAAAGTTCTAGGAATTTCTTTAAAGTTCACACTGGGCTCAATCCTGCTCCAATTTACTTCAGTGAGAACAAGATTTGGCCCATTGTTTGCAGGAAAATTATTTACTATACTCATATGATTGAGTTTATAATCTCTAGTTGGTAGCATAATAATGAAGAACTCTGATGGGCTACTAAGTGTTCCCAAGCCAGCCTTTTCTCTGTGCAGCATCACATATTGGTATATTGCATCTACCAGAGAGAGTATCACAAATTTACTGTCAGTTAGAAGCATTAGGTTTTATGTGAAAGAGTACATCTACACTGCAATAAAAGATCCATGGCACCAAGTTGCAGAGCCCAGACAACAGACTCAGGCTCATGGGGCTAAAAATAGCAGTGTAGTTATTCAGGCTCAGCCTGGACCTGGGGCTTTGAAACCCCACAACAGGAGGTGGTCTCAGAATCCAGACCAAGCCTGAATGTCTACATTGTTATTTTTAGGCCTGCAGGTAGAGCTCAAGTCAGCCTGGGCTCGGAGACTTGTTGCCGTGGGCTTTTATTACAGTGTAGACAAGGAATTGGCAATCTTTGGCACGCAACCCGTCAGGGAAATCTGCTGGCGAGCCGGGACGGTTTGTTTACCTGCAGCATCTGCAGGTTCGGCCAATCACAGCTCCCACCGGCCATGGTTTGCCATTCCAGGCCAATGGGGGTTGCGGGAAACGGCGGCCAGCATATCCCTCAGTAGGACCTGAGATTAAACTGGACAATGTATCATATTCCCAAATTTACTTTAAAATGTAAATTTCAAATAAGATTAACTATGTCAGCACTAGTGGGCTTCACTCACATTAAAAAATCCACTAGAATTCTATTGGGTCTCTCTAAATAGGAATCCTCAGTACAGTCCACAGTGGTTCTCAAACTTTTTTACTGGTCACCCTTCACATTGCAAGCCTCTGAGTGTGACCCCCACCCCCCCTTTTAAATTAAAAACATGTTTTTATATATTTAACACGATTATAAATGTTGGAGGCAAAGCGGGGTTTGGAGTGGAGGCTGACAGCTTGTGACCCCCCCATGTAATAGCCTTGTGACCCCGATGGGTCCCGACCCCCAGTTTGAGAACCCCTGTGCTGGAGGGTATGCTATGGAAACAGAAAAGGAAAAATCTGACAGTCCTGCATCCAAAATAACTGAGAAGACAAGTAGAAAGTGGCAATAAGAGTATGTTAGGCTCGGTTATGTACTTGCAAAGTGAACAGTGAGCACACAACACTGAGGAACATTACCAACAAGCAGAATGGGCTCTGGCTTATCTTAATTCCTTTCTGGCTGCTTTTCTGAGGGCCGGTCTATAAAACTCACACAGCCGGTGTACAATTGTCTGGCAGGCTTTGAGTGACTCAGTGTATTTTTGCTTGTTGTATATACACAATATTGTTATTGAACTATTATTCCCTTGTAACAGTGTAGGCTTGTAGCGCAGATAGGCCCCAAATCACTTTTCTCCTACTGAAAACTATCTATCTAGGATGATAAATTTGACCACCACATCCCTAGGATTTGGCAACTCCTACATTAAAAAATTTACTCTGAGTCCATAATGCAGCAACTTTTAAGCAGAACTCCTACTGAAATCAATAATGGTGATCTACTTAAAAACAGATAGCACAATATGGCTCTTTATAAAGGGTACCTGATTTCCTGGTTCAAATTAGGAATTTTAAACTCTGGACCAGATCCTCCTCACTATGCTCACAGCAAACCCTCGTCAGCCTAGTGGCTTTAAGTCACTTTTGTGCCAGTCGCAGTATCCAGCATACACCAGCTTCAGGGTTGCTGTAAATTAAGACAGCTGCTGACATCCCCCAGAGGCTATTCAAATAGCTGTGGGTTAGCTAGATACAGGGTACCCTGGCTGCTCTCTACATTGGGGGCTGGATGGAAGTGGTACAGGAGCCACTCTGCACCAACCAGTGCTTCTCCTAAGCAAAGGAAATCATCCATTAGCTGGGTAAACTATTTAGGACTGCTTTGCACAGTTGGCGCGGCACAAAAACAGCTTTATCACAGGAGAGAAATGGGCCCATTAGATCCAAAACAAACCACCGAAAACGGTGAAAAGTCTACCAACATCCTTCCTTGCACCCTCTCCCATGAACGGCCTCACCACATGAATGAGCCTATCTTTCAAAGCAGTTAAAAATGGTTTCACTTAAACCTTATTTCTAAGTCTTGCCAGCCTACTAGTTAAAACATTTTTTAAAAACATGTTCCTAGATTGGTAAGAACTAAGAAACTGAGTTCCAACCAGCTTTCTATAACCCAAGGGTTTAATGCCACAGTGATAGCGAGAAAGCAGGTATAAAAAAGAACCAGGTTACTATGGTAACTGTTATGCATAATGTTGCCTCTCCATAGTCACACATGCAGGATGTTTTACCTCCAGTGCCATGGAGCTTTGCAGAATTTCTGGAAAGTAGTTCTTGTTGGAGGTCACAAGCTCAGAGCAGAAAGGGCTGCACTGCCCCTATGGCCTCAGTTCCCTCTGTTAACCCCAAGAAATGTGAGCAGATATTGCAAAGGAACATGCACTGACTCAAACGGACTTGGAACTGGGCTGCAGGTTAATGTGTGGTGGTCTTACAGAAAAGCATAGTAGGCAATACAGAAAGGTTATAGGAACTCTTTATGTTTAACTTATTAGTGGCTCTGCAAATTTGGGGATATGTTATTTAATAAGTAAATTAGAAAGAGTGTGTCTTCCCCTGCATTCAGTGCTCCCACTCCACTATAGAACAGTGAAGAAAAGAATCAACAGCCTTCAAACTGACTGCCCTACTCACTAGTCAAAACTCAGCCACAACTTTATTTAAAATAATATATTCACACACAAAAGAACTACCCTGCTCAGAAAGAGCACAAAAGCCTGAATAAATATGAAAAATCAAAATCCTTCAAATGCCTACTAAATATTGCCAGTTCAAGTCAGTTGGTCCACAGTGCAGCAAAATGAGGAAAATTCATGCCGGGTTTAAAATGCACAGAACTAAGCTAGGTTTTACAAGTTAAATTAGTGATTAGAAACTTTTTAGAGCACTGCAACTTTTATCACAAGATACAGTATTGACTACAGAAATTTTTATCAAGTAGCAAAATTTACTAATCTTTAGCTGAAATATAATTTCAGTTTTATGAACAATCTCCATGTGTAAAAAAAAGCCACAAACCCTAATGGATCTGAGTTGCTTTTACAAGTGTACTCACAAAGTCTCAAATTAAAACTTCATAGGTTTTAAGTAGAAAAAATATTAAATTTTTAAATAGGTAAATTTTCTTTTGTTGCATTATATACACACATACACAGTCTTTCCTCTATATAAAATCTTATTGAAGTTTGTGTTCCCACTATATTGATCACTGTTAAACTAAGAAAAGATCTAGTTTTGTTAAACACACAATATTCAATATGCAACTTCAATATCACAGAAAAATGGCATATAACAGAAAATACTAAACAGGTGACATCTTATATTCTGAAAATGAAACAAAACATATGATTAAGTCTGAAATGCCAAATGGACCCCTTATGGCACAAGAAGTCAGGATTTCCGACCAGTAAATCATCAGTGCAGTTTCTTTAATGCTACATTTTGCACTTTCCCCCCACATTGAAAGGTGCCGTAGGGCTTGTCTATACTGCCATTTTACAGCGCTACAACTTTTCTCGCTTGGGATGTGAAAAAACCACACCCCTGAGCACTGCAACTTTCAGCACTGTACAGTGCCAGTACAGGCAGTGTGGGGTGTGAAAACACACCCCATGAGCGCTGCAACTTTCAGCACTGTAACGTGACAGTACAGGCAGTGTGGGGTGTGAAAACACCCCCCCCCGAGCGCTGCAACTTTCACCACTGTAACGTGACAGTATAGGCAGTACACCAGCACTGTAGCTACACCCATGGAGGTGGTTTTTTTAGAGCGCTGGGAGAGCTCTCCAAATTATGTGCTGCAGCTACACAAGCCATGTAGACAAATCAGTGTAGACAAGCCCTTATTTTATGAGAAGTCCTCAGATAATTCCAATGGAATTATCTGCAGAGTAATATGGTATTTGACTTCAGTACAGTTGGCAAAAATCTGACCCTTTGTGATAAGCTGTGGGAATTTAAGAATGACAAAGCACCAAGAATCTGTGGCCAGTACCAAGAAACAAGATTACCAAACCCTCCTCTAAATTCTGATTCCTGTCTTTCATTTAAAAGCCTTGTTTGTAAGCAGACAATTATTTCAATAAGATATAAAGGAGGCACACAGAGTATTACATAGAAAATTAAATGCAAAATACTGTGTTTAAATTAAAGGACACCCAAATAGTCTGATACCACGCTTAATGAGTATTTTTGAAGCATGATTAGGCAACATTTTAAACATGTTTAGCAATGTAACAACTCTTGTAAACGTACGAGGAAGTAACTCAGTCTCACTTCTATAAAGTTCCTCGAATAACGTCAAGACAGTTTTTCTTCTGATTTCAAAATATGTTTCTACTTTTCTATGAAGCTTTAATGGTCTACAAAATTACATGTTAAAATGCACATGTGGTTATAGTACCCTTCTCAATAGAGGTTGTTTTCCTTTTTATTGTGATGGTGAAAAAAAGGAGTAAGCATCTAGGACTAAGTTCTTCCCTCAGTTATTGGCATGTAACATGCAACTTCATCTTTAAGAACAGAACTTGGGCCTCAGCAGGTAAGTACACTATTCAAAACTATGCAGTGACTTTTATTGTGAGTTTTAAGATGCTGTTTGATGGATATAGTTAACTTTAAAAGTACCGTTTTAGCTCAGCTATCCAATAACGCTTTAACAGCAGTTTATCAAAACAAGTATTTTTTATACAAACATTCATTTATACTTCAGACTTCAAGTAATACCTTCCATCTAAATCAAGTTATATCATTCAACTGCCCAAGACAAACATAACACCAACTTTGCCAGCCCAAGCTATTTTGCTTAATTTTGGGCTTGGTCCCAAAAGAGGTAGAGGCCGTGAATCAAACCACTGAATTCCACCCAAGTAGGATTCACTAACATGTCAATCTCCTGCAACGTCTGCAATCTTACCTAGGATAAAAAACTATTTTATATAAGTGTTCAGCTAAATACAGGAACAAGCTCTGAATGTTAGATTATTTCATTTGAAACGATGTTCAGTCCAATGGAACTAACATGTTAGTGAAGCCCCACCACATAACGTTCAGTCACAAGAATTTGTAACTTCTCTCCAAGTTTTAATTTAAAACCTACCTAATATACAAATATACTTTTAAATAACAAATATAAGAATAAATATATTTCAACTTGGAGAGAAGTTTTAGTATGCTTATTTTAGACACTTAGAGCTATTAATTGATATAGCTGTATTCACTATTATTTCTCTACAAATGCTGCTGCTGCCATAGAAGTCCTCATGCTTCCTCTTGCTGAAGCTGTGAACTCCTCAATTTCAGCATTCAATTTACTGATTACCCATTCCAATGCTTCACGGCCCTGCAATTAAAAAAACAACAACACTTATTCTCATATTTATGAAGAAAAGAAAGGTTTGTAAGTAAATAGCCAAGGTATCATATTTTCTTGAAGACTAGCTAGAACAAAACAGTTGAAACGGGGGAGCCAAAAGTGAGTACAGATATACCTCCACCATTCATGCAAACTGGAAGATCTTTCCCCCAAGCCCCAGACTTCCCTTTAAAACCTTTATAGGGCTAACCTATGAAAGACCATAGCTAATTGATGGTATTTGAGCCCAGGTGGTGGTCAACATTTTTCAATTTATACTCTGGACTGAAATCTAAAATTAATTTTCGCTATTATTCTCTTTGACAGGCAGAAAACATTTATAAATGTAATTAGGTTTTGACAAAATGTATACAAGGTTGACAATGTGACTTTTTGTTTAACACACACACCCAATTTTACAATACACAAGCTACAGCTTCACACCCCCTTGGAATCCTTTTGGACACCTAACTGTTGCTGGAATCTCAAACAGCTGACACTAATTATAGCCAAAACTGGTTAAAAGAATGCACCCCATCTTATTAAAAAAACCATTTGGTCAGGTAAGCCAGGTCTTTGGAATCTCCAGGTAAGAATAACTGCATTGTATGATATTCCTAGTCACAAGTACCCCCAACAATATTGAAGTTGACTGAAGTTCCACAGGTAAGATTGAGTTGAGTTTTACATGAAAGAGGGACTGAATCACTTCATTAAGTATGAAGATAAAGTACAGTATTTTCTTTCAGCACAGAATACATTTTCTGAAAATTTACAAGCAAATCAGTTAGATTATGAGTTTAAATTAAAAAACTCAGTCCTGTAGTGGACCTGAAGGGAAAAAAAAGTCAAATGTCTTTAAATCAATTGAATCCGAGATTTACAAACACTTATGTGCTAATCATAATTGTATGGTTATTGCAAAGTGCAAATACAGGGGAGAGTTCAAGTTGCCTGGATGTCTTACCTGTGCATTTCCATATGTTAATATACATGGATTTCTCACTACACTGGCTCTTAACAGAATAATGTGTTGAGTTCAAAAGCTGCAATCCTAAGTTTAGGCCTTCCATGATACTGGCCCTGGTTTTTGTTTTTTTAAAAGAGAAATTCTCTGTACAATGACAGTCCTTAGAAACTATGATACTGTCAACATCAAGGATTAAGCTACTAAGAAAGAGGAAACAGCACATTCTTAAGAACAGGACCAAGGCTTCAGAGTTTACCACCACAGGAGATTAAAATTATCACAAATATCACAGCCTTCAGAATTAAGTGAAGACTCACTTCAGTTTCTCTCTCTCCTACAGCTGCAATAAAAACCACAAGGAAAAAGGTATAGAAAAAAGGAAGAGAAAAATCAGAAAATGAATAATACAACAGTGAGAAAAGAGTGAGGTGAAACATTCAAATAAAAACAAACAGTTTAAAAAAAAATTCACATGACTGACAGATGGGAAGGCAAGGAGGAAAATTAGGTCTCTAGCTGTTCATAGATTTGATTTCAAATTCTTTCAGAGACACTCATAACTAAAATGATGGGCACTATTCTAAAAAACAGAAGAGATATATTAGAAGGGCCACAGATAAAATTGCTATAAATGGCAATAAAATTATCTAGTTTTGTCTTCTTGATCTCTGACACCAGCAAATATCACGGATTATATTCTATGGCTGAAATTTATCCCCATGCAGGAGGCCCACACAACGCCTTACATGTCTCTTATTCCCCATTTTAAAAGATCTAAACTATACCTAAGTTGTCACATAAAACAATGTGCAGAACATCTTTGCATGAGGTGAATACTATGTGAAGTAGTATTTTCTTTAATTAGGTTTATATTTACTGCCTGTGCATTTTGTCTGTCTCCATGTTTTGTATTCTATGACAATATCAAAAGGTAGGGGTGGCGAAGACCATGCATATAACTAATAAATTAAACTTAAGTAAACCAAAGTTGATTAATTTAGTTCTTATAAAACTGAAGATGTAAATTAAACAAGACCTCAACACACACAGTTTCAACAAATAAAGCGAACAACTAAAGTATCAAGGAAATAAGCAGTTTTTCATTTTTTTGAAGATTTTCTTTAGTTTAACAGTGCTTAAATTGTGATCTGCAAAGTTGCTTCTGTCAAGCCTATGCTTCCCAACCGCTGTAGCGCAATCCACGACCTGTTTGGATTTCCATAGGCTAAGCTGATCAGTTGCACTAAAAAGAAGCAACTTTTTGCATCTGCTTCACATCTGCCCAATGCAGAATTTTGGATGGCACTTGAACTGGAGGAATAGTAAACATATAAAACAGAACCAAAGTTCAAAGTGACCTGGAGATGCTAGCCCAGACAGCATGGGGATATTTGGTACTAATAAATACACAGTCAACAAGAGGAAAACCCAAAAGGTTCAGAGAGATGTGATCAAGCAGCCACACCTATCCTGCTAAAATGTGCTTATTTTCATCTTGTCATCTTAAATGTTAGGACAATATTAACAAAGTGCTACTGTTATGCTAGGGAAGGTGCAGAATCAGGATTGGGAGGTTGAGCATGGAGATGCCTATGACAGGATCTGTATTTTAAGAAGTGATTCACACTATGATCCCTTTTGAGAAGCCCTGCCATATCTTTTTCAAAAGTAAACTAAATGTAATATGAACTTAAAAAAACTTAGCGTTTTTTTTTTTTGAACTCCACAAATCAGGAAGCCACATAAAGAACATATATGTAGGAGTCATACTTACTTTATTAGCATTGGAAGAGATAGTGTTTTCCATTAATCCCTCGAGATAACTGCTGACACTGACACCTTTTACAGAGATTATTGCCTCTTGAGTCAAAATGGTTCTGAGTCAAAAAAACAAGTTCACTTTATTTTTTCACATTATAAAAACAAGTAGAGTGTTATTTATAAAAATATAAAATGCCCCTCCCTCCAAATGCCCTGCTTCCACAGATCCACCAGGCAAAACTGTTTCTCTCTCTTGCTTCTGGAATTCTGGAACAGAAAATCATGCACACACTCCCTCAATGGCTAATTGTTTTGAAATGGGCTAGGCTGCTGTGAGGCTGAGCGTGCATGATTCCCTGTTCCAACATTCCAAAATAAGATACAGTAATCCCCACCCACCCACAAATGTCCTTTACTTATTCTTGAATCCTTTAATTCTCCATAGTAAAGGGTAAAAGGGAGGGTCAACATAGACCTGCAGAGGGAATACATTCAAAGCACAAAAGTCACCTCTTTTTCTCCCTTATGACATTGCCAGGACATATTCCCACTGAGAGAGATGAACTAGCAGCAAAAAATCCTCCAGGAGGTGGCTGTGGAATATTACTAGCTACAAAATAAACACAGCTCTCCCAAAAGGAGCAGCTAATCTGATCCACAATTACTTTAGTTATTCTAAAAGAAATCCAGATGCAGACAGAGGTGTATAGTCTGTGTGCACTCAGGTTGATGGAAAGAGAAGAAAAAAAGAGTAGAGACTCATGAAATTTCTTTTATTTTAATTTTATTTTTTAACAATTTTTCATTTTATTTTCCTGCAACGTGTGTTTAATTTTATCCATTCTATCAATGGGGGGGGAGGGCTGATGGGTCTTGCCGAGAGAGGTCACAGAGCAAGCCTGCCCCACACTTACCTGGCAGTGGCATCATGATGACAGAACGACAGCCAGGCCAAACCTGAAATGGCACTAAGAAACCATGCACCAGGTCGCAACACCCAAGAGCAAGGAGCTGGGCCCAACCCCGTGGGACAGAAGCCATAGCTGCAGGGTGAGTTTTTTGCTTTATATGTTGCTTTTCATTTTATTTCATATTTGTAAAAAACACAGGACTCTGGAAATGAGACTGTTTGGAGACCAGGGATTTTTATACCCTTCATTTTAAAATGCTGAAACAGAGGGGCATATGCTCACTCCCTGAACAGCTGCTTTGAAATGGATTCCACTGTCATATGGAAGGGCATGCCATCTCACAGTGGGGATTTGCAGAAGCAATGCCATTAAGGATAATGTAAATTTATTTTACTCTTCTAAAGTGCAATCTTGAAGACAAATATTCATGTGCTTACTTTTCTGGCTCTTGAGGATGTGGTTTATAGATAAGCCTCTCATCTACTGACACCAGATTTGTAAATGAAATCTATGGAATAGAATGAGTTAGATTATTATCATCACTTAAATAAAAAAAATTTTCATTAAGAAGATGCAATAAACACAACTAGAACAATCTAAGACCTTAACACTCAAATATCTGATTTTAAACACCGTCCTTCAATGTGGTATTCTAATTTATTATTCTAAAATTACAGCTGAATACTATTTCATGAAACTGGTATAAACATACACAAAAGAAATCAATCCTGAAGTTCAAGCTTGCTAAACTACTTTTTCTTCTTACATCCTTCAGCATAGACTGTCAAGACCACAAAAGGATTTCAACAATGACCATGTACAAATGATATACAGTAACAAGCAAAGTACTACACATTAAGGTAGCAGCAATACTACAAAAGAATTTTTGAAACAAAGTGGGATGTTTTGTATTCGCTAATCATTTCTAGTGCAGGTGTTTCATAACAAAGCTGGCAAAAAAGTTCCTTTACTACAATGGGCTATGGGAGGTTGAGAATATGAGGTATGCTATTTTCACGATAAAATTTTCTTTTTCAAACTGTTTATAAAATTTAAACATGTTAGTCAACTAATGACTTTAGCATTATTGATAAAAGAAATTACAATACTTACGTTACTTGACTTAAGTTCCATTGTTTTTTTCACAGGGTCAACTACAGAGTGTTCCTGAACATATGTTTTTGTTCTGCAAGCACCGATGAGCTACAAGAAAGACACCCAAGATTATACATGCAAACACACTGCAATAACTATTCTGAAAAGTTTAAAGATTTGTATTTACTTTTTTCCTTTCATTTCAACATACTATGGAATATCAAAGTAAACATTACCATACTGAATAAAGAGTAAGAAATGCGACTAGCCTTAAAATGACAAAGTTGGTATTTATTTTCTGCTTAAAATATTAGGTATAATTTAATTCAATTTCTTTAAAAGGACACCATCGGTCTGAAATCTAACTATTTAATAAAAAAGCTAGAAGTCCCACTTCAAAAGTCCCACTGTTCTTCCCTCTGACAGTTTTAAAACCACATGCTCCTATTAAAAAAAATTCTTGCCCATTATGCTGCAAAAAAGCTGCAGAATGATTGTATAGGGGAAAAGGTGAATTTGTCCATAGTCAGTTGTCAAATGTGCAGGGAACAATAAAATAATTTTTCTATAATTCTTTTCTGTTATAGCAACTGTGTTACCTAACAACTGCAGGTAAAGCAATTTATACTGAAATGTGATTTAAGTTAACATCCTTTTAAACTTTGGAAAATTTATACATAAAGTATGCAATAGTCTAAACTATATTATCTACTACTTACAAAACAGAATTCTGTTCATCATTTAAAAGTAACATCACAAAAAATTAGAAGAATGCTATTCTCTCAACTAAATGAGAAATAAGTGGCATGGTTTCCCAAGTCCAGCCTTATTCTTCCAGAACATAAAATAGGAGCACTTGCTATTATAAGGAAATAATACTATTCCCTTACTCCCAACCTTCATCTGTCTTGTCTAGTCAGACTGAATTCGGGGCAGGAACAGTTTCTGACAATGTGTATATAAAGTGCCTTACAACAATGGGATCTAATCTTGATTTATGGGGTATTTAAAACTGATAATAAATAAGGAAGCATGTGGTTCTTCCACCAAGCTAATAAAGGAATTCTCATCATGAGGAAAGCCATGTTAATATATTGGGAATGATTTATGTACCTTTCAGGACCAAAGCATACTACAAAACTGATTCTTCAAGGATCAAACCATAATACAAGAATGTCAGTGTACCTGACAAACCAATACAAATTTACCATTTTTAGGAACAGGACACTTTAAGAGAACAGCTGTTAACCAGATTACTGTTCTGCTTTTCAAGTAACCAAGCAATAAGATACTACAGAGTTGTTATTGCAAGAAAAAAGAAAAGGAGTACTTATGGCACCTTAGAGACTAACCAATTTATTTGAGCATAAGCTTTCGTGAGCTACAGCTCACTCGAAAGCTTATACTCAAATAAATTGGTTAGTCTCTAAGGTGCCACAAGTACTCCTTTTCTTTTTGTGAATACAGACTAACACGGCTGCTACTCTGAAACCTGTCATATTGCAAGAAAATACATGAAAGGTCATATTACCCCCACCTGCCTGCACAAAGCAAGAACTAGACACTAAAGCAGCTTCTGTGCTTGAGGGTAGGTAAAGTTACTGCTCCCTCCCATGCCACAAGGACGCAAATAATTGTAAAGGAGACAGGGACATGGGATGGCACTAAGGAATGGTGCAGTACACATGATTCCCCAGGCCCTGTGTTGTCCCAAGAAGAGCTGGATTGTAAATTATATATTGTTTTGATTGTTTATAAAAATGAAACAACTCATATGTAATTTCTCTCTAAAATCTTGTAATAATGTACTTACTGATTTTACAATAGAAGGCATCCCCCATTCTGTACTGAGCAGTCTATGGCTATGCAACTTTCCACTGGGATCTATGTGTCTGTCTAGTACGTCAACTCCAATCACACTAGGGTTCATGGGATTTGGGTATTTCTGCATAGCAGCTGTTGTAACTGTTTCCCAGGGGTGACTGACAAAATAAATCAAAATTAACACATTTATAAATTGCACACATTAGTTTGTCATACTTTCTATTACATAATGAAAAAGATGCAGTTTACATTTTGCTTTAAAAATACAGGTACAAAACATATTCAGTTGAAACAATATATAAACAAACCAAACAATTATTTGTGAAATACCAGAGTACTGTAGATTTTTTAAATTATTGGCTTTACTGTAACACAGCAGTTATCAAACTGTGGGTCGTGACCCCATTTTAATGGGGTTGCCAGGGCTGGCTTAGACTTGGTAGGGCTCAGGGAAGCCCGAGCCCCACAACCCTGGGCAGCGGAGCTCAGGTTACAGTCCCCCTGGCTGGGGCTGAAGTGCTTGTGCATAGGTTTTGACCCGTTCCTTGCCCGGGGTGGTGAAGCTCAGGCTTTGCCCCCCCACCCGGGGCAGTGGGACTGGGGCGGCCTCAGGCTTCAGTCCTGCTCCTGGGTTCACGCAGTAATTTTTGTGGACAGAAGGAGGTCGCAGGGCAATGAAGTTGGAGAACCCCTGCCTCACTTGAATTAACTACTATGTAAGACCATGATAATTCCACTGCTGTCCCAAACTACAGAGAAAGTTTCAAGGAGTTTAGCCTAAATAATTTATGTATTGAGACTTTATTAACTCCAAGGGGCGGTGGGGGGGAGACACTCTACAGAGTTTGCCAGACCCAGCTCTCCTGCACCTAAACACTTCCTGAGGCAGACCCAGCGGGCCGGGTGATCTCTTTCATTGGACTGACGGCTGCTGGCGGAAGGGTCGAGCTTTCGAGCTCTCCCGTAGCTCCGCGGAGCTCGAGGCTCGCCCCTTCTCCCGAGAGACGAGTGGCCAATAGGCGAGATCCCCTCGCCCGCCTCCGACGCCCCGCCACCGCGCCTCGTTCATCGGGGTCTGGCGCTCCAGCCCGCACCCACGCATAGGTACGGACCCCTTGGCAAGAACCGTCTCCCCCCTGGGCCCCGGCCCTCGCTCCCGGGCACACGCAGATTCCCGCGCCACAGGCTGCGAGCGCGTCCCGGGGCCCAGGGTCTCCGGGCCGCGGCGCCTAGGGAGCCCCTGGGCAGAGGCTTTGACGCCACAGTGCGGGCCGCTGGGCCCAAGGCAGGCCCTCCCGACGCCCGCGGCTCGCGCTCCACACCGCCCCGGCAGGCGAACAAGCCTCTCCACGCGGGCCCAGGCCCGAACGCGGTCGCTCACCCCCCGCGGCCGTTGCGCGCGCGTGGCCTAGCCCCGCCCCTTACTCGAAGACATGCTCAGAGGTCCAGATCTTCATGGTGCCGGCGGTAACCGGCCCGGGCCGGGCGGGCGGTGCTGCGGCCGCGCGTCTCCCACGCACGCGGCGCCCCTGCCGTCCCTGCGAATGGAACGGAAGCCGGAGCCGGCAGCGGCCCCTGCGCCTGCGCCGTGAGGGGAGGAGCGTTAGGCCCTAGTGAGGGAGGGGGAGAGGCTCCCGTCTCCAATCTTACGCTCTTGCGTCAGGGTGACATCAGAAGGGAAGCGCCACTCGTCGGGAGGCCACGTGCTGGGCTGGCTCCCCCTCCCCAGACAGACGCGCGCGCCGGCGGCTGTCTCGTGACATAATTGCCCTGAGGACGCATGCGTACCCAATAGGCCGGCTAGCCTTGCGCGACACTTCCAGCCCCTCCCCCCTGGGTCCCGTCGGTGTTCCTCGCGCGTGCGGCTGCGCAGCCTGGCAACTGACTCCCGCTGAGCCTGGCTAGGGGCGGGGCGGTGGGAGGCGAGTGGGCATCTGGCTTGCCGCTACGCGGGGCACAGTGTGGGAGGAGGACAAGTACCCTCAGCATTGCTCGGAGGCGGTGCACGGTGCAGGACTCGCTATTTACCACCAGCTCGGGCCCTGCGCTGCGGAGCGGGGGAGGCAGCACTTGTCCAGTCCGCTCCAGGCAGCGTCATGTGCAAACTGGAGGCGGTCACCCCCTGCAAAGTAATGGACTCCACGCAAAGCTAGTAATGAAGATGCAGAAGGTTCAGATTAAGCATGAAGTCGCTCTCAGAAGCAGCAGATTTAAGGGGGGGGTACAATGAGGAAATTAAGTTTATACAAAAAGCAAACTACTACGGTTTGTGGCAGCCCCTGCTTTATTTCTAAAAGTGAATAAACCCCTCTTCGTTTAAATATTACATTATATATTACATATATTTTCCCACCACCTCTCAACACCCAGCCTTAAGACCTACATTACTGCTTTCTCTTTCTAGAGTCACTGGAAGTGTTCTCCCTTAGTGTCTAATATTTCCCCCTCCGGTTTGTTCCTGTAAACTGAATCCTAATCAGATTTTAAAAAAAAAATCCAGCCATCTCCAAAAAAGCACAAGTAGTCAATATTCCAGAGTGAGAGTTTCTTCAGCTGCTTTATAAACTGGTGGGAAAATCCTCCTTGAATTCTTCTTAACCCATGGATGTTTTATTATTTCTTTGAGAGAGAGCCTCAAAGAAGGAGTGCGCTTAAGTGTTTTTGAAATAAGGTCCTTGGCACCATCAGGCACCCATGTGGGAAATGCGAATTTAACCTTGAAATAAAAAAATAGAGACAATATTAGTTCCACAAGGTAACAGCAGTATGATGCAAGTACAATGAATAGTATAATATCACCTAGGAGCCTCAGTCATGGACCAGGACCCCCATCAACATGATAGACTGTGGTCTCAGCACACCAGCCACCTAGCTGTCAAGTTTTTTGTAGTCTTCACAGCTACAAGAAGTACTGCTTAAAAAGGTAATGAAAGATGTAACAGTATTACCAAAGCCAGGTAATTCCATGATAGTAAACTAGTGTCTTCAAAAAGACTATAAGAATGCAAGACTGTTGACAGTTATTACGATTTGGAATTCCGGTAAATCTGATAGTGTAGAGTTGGGTTATAATGACTACAGCTGAATTTCAGTGCAAAGTAAGATTCTTTGTGTGCTCCAGAATTATATTGTAACATCTCCTATACCAGATCATTGTCACAGCAGCCACAGAATAGATCTAATCACAAGAACTTTATCGGATATACTTTTAACCCTGATTAATGTGCAAAATAAGATCAATGTTTCTGGCATAATACACTCCCCATTATCTGCGATACAGCGTGCACATTAGAGTCACAGTCAAGGACACTAGCTGATACTGTTCACTGGAATAAATTGGTCGGCTGCTGAATTTTAAAGAGACATTTTGTACTAAGCAGCATGGAAGACAGCTAGAATTAATGAAGGAGAGTAACCTTCATTGAATAAGGCCAGTATTAGAACCAACTGGTACATTTTGTATCTGTATCCCTAGTCTTCAATATATTTATCTACATTTGTTCATCCCCCTCCTCCACCGTGTCAATTTTGCAGATAGAAACTGAAATTACAGCCTCAGTCTTGATCACAATGGCAAATCAATGGCAAAACTCCGGTAGATTGTGTGGGTACAAGACAAGGCCCCAAATCTATATTCAAGATGACCCACTGTTTCAAATTAGGTAGTTTACATCTTGTCACCAAACTGCGTACAAAAAGGAGCAGCTGTCTGAAACACATCCAACACTAATTTAGATTTAACAGTTTTGCCATATGTATTGCCAGTTGAAGTGCCACAGTATGGGCTATTTTTAGCAACGAGGTAGCACAGTTGATGAGTGCTTCAGTAAAAGGGAGTGCTTCACACTACTATTTAAGGACTCTGGTTGATTTCAGAATGAGTCCATGTGTTCTGAAGGCATCTTTAGTCAACAGTGCCCAACTACAGCCTTTGAAGAGGGAAATGGTAAGGGCAAGGAAAAGTAACCAGGATTTTCTTGTAATAAACAACGTTATTCTGACATTGTTCTGAAGATTTTAACTGGGAATGTCAGAGCTCCTAATGAATACTGAGATGGTATCAAACAAGATGCCCAGTTCTCTGTAATGCACTCTGACAGTCCTTTAACCAGTCAAGTTTGATGCCAACAAAATCAAAACCCAAGCAGTGTCCGATTCTAAAGAAGAGAATTTATTGGCCTGGTTATCAGTGATGCTGACAGTTCTGGGCTCCTACTCTAATCTTTTATATGATTAGTTTATTGGTAGGCTTGCCAGAATGTTTGTTTTTTAATGTAAGTCAATGATAAATATCAAATGTTTAAGCTTTTTTCCATTTTTATCAGTTTAAATTTTCACAGTTGCAGAAAATTATGGGGATCAGACAATTATTTAATGACAGATTCAAAAAGTTAAAGCTTTATAACCATTAAAACACAAGTTGTCAACATCAGTCAAAATATACAAAGTAAATATCCTTAAAACAAAAAGTTCTCAAGCAGCATTTGTCTTACTTTGCCTCTCATCATCAATGAAGCTATTATTTCATTGGTTTGTGCGTACCATGAAATCAGCTTTCACTGATTTAAAAAAAAAGCCCTTCAGAGCCTAAGTTGTTTGTCTGTGGGAGAAGGTTTTCTTTGCTCTCAAAACCAAGTAACCTTTTCCATGGATTTAGGAAAGCATACCTCTGCAATTCTTTTGTATGTTTCATTGCGGGTGGGTGCTTCAAATGGTGCATACCCCACAAGACACTCAAAACACAGAACACCAACACACCAGACATCAACATTTTCATCATGGGTTCTCCCATCGATCATTTCTGGGGCAAGGTAATCCGTTGTGCCACAAAATGTTGTCCTCCTATTTAAAAAACAAATCCAGTCATTTTGTTGCATTAAAATAAGGTAGAGTAAATTTATCAATAACTGATTTACTACAAAAAGAAAAGGAGTACTTGTGGCACTTTAGAGGCTAACAAATTTATTTGAGCATAAGCTTTCGTGAGCTACAGCTCACTTCATCGGATGCATCCGATGTGCATCCAATGAAGCGAGCTGTAGCTCACGAAAGCTTATGCTCAAATACATTTGTTAGCCTCTAAAGTGCCACAAGTACTCCTTTTCTTTTTGCGAATACAGACTAATATGGCTGCTACTCTGAAACCTGATTTACTACACACATCCACACCCAATTTATTAGAACTTTAGGGGCCAGATTTGGACCCACTAGAATCTGAGCTGTTTTGAAAATCTTTCCCTCGGTAGGATGTCATCTTTGTGGCCTAGGTGTGGGGAAAGCAGATTAGCTTCTCTCTCAATCCTAGGAAATGCTTTAATTACCCAACAACTTTGACCCATTTAACCCAATTAACTTTGACCAATTAAGGCCCAAACTTTAAAAATTGTGTATGCAAGCTGGGTGACTCCGTGCATACAATTTCTTAAGTTTCACTCTAAAGGAGTAGTTCTGATTGGCTTCAGGAGTTATGTCTAGTCCCCAGAGATCTAAATGAGGTCAAACAGAAGCTACATGAGGGGTTAGAGGCTGAAGAGTCAAAAACATCCTCTGAGTGCTTCATGAAAGACAAGAGGGACTTGTATGGGCCCATGACAGTAATATTTGAGACTATATTCTGTGTCGCAAGAATCTTAGAAAAAAATAAAGATTCTAATATCTAAGGAAAGCCATATGCAATATTTTGCTTTCTTTCCTCAAAGTGCCAGTCAAGGTGTAGAGATAGCCAGCCTTGAAGGAAAGCTTCTCTGAACTGTTGGTCCTGGGGCTGCTGACAGACCTTCTCTTTGTTCATGCTGTCTGAAGGACTGCATAGTGGAAGCAAAGCAGGGCACAAGGAGTATACTTTTCATGCCTTTGTGGAGGCTTGAGGATTCATTTCAGTGTTCAAGACCTTCACACAAGCTTGAACCAATCCTGCTCCTCCTTGCTTACCATCAGTGGTGTCACAATCCAATGATTGTCCACAGTTCATTTCTTTGGAGACAATTATGTGGCATCAGTGAATCAAGATGAGAGGATTAGGATATTAGACAGATTTTACCAAAATGTTGTCAGTGGAGGAGCTGGAAATACAGGACAGTCGAATAGAGACTGAGTCCATATAGGAGTGGTCTTACAACTGAAAAAAGGAGTCAGACTCACCTGAGTGATGGAGCATGCACGGACCAGCCAAAGTCCGCTAACTTCAGTTCCCCTTTAAGTCCTAGCAGGAGGTTTTCAGGCTTGATATCTCGGTGGATCACTTTCTGAGCATGGCAGTATATCAGAGCATCAGATATTTCTTCTACATACTGCAGAATGTGCCACACCCAAGATAATTATACAGTCAAACACAGTTTATGTAGTGGTTTTCTATAGGAAATACGATTTAGCCATTTAGTAAGTTAAATACAAACCTTATTGTGGCTCAGCAGTGAGTGATTTGGTTTGATATTTACCATGTTTGTTTTGATATTGCTTGTAAGAGTTGCTTAGAAAGCTAATGGTAGTATTACATAAAACCAGGGATGGATGTACTGAACCTTTGAGGATTAGAAAGAAGCCTTGCCACATCTTGGCAATTCCTGGCTCTATCCAGGAACTGGAACATTTGGCAGTCACACGAGACACTCTGTGAGCAAGTTATTTCCAACTAGTTTTACTTAGGCAAGATTTGTTCTGCATACAAACCCAGCGTATGTCTACAGTGCATACATTATTATAGTTTCAAGATGAGCTTCCATTCCCCTTCACAAAACATAAGCAGCATCAACACTTTACTCACGGTGGCAGTTCTTGTCTCCTCAAAACGCTCATGTTTTTGCAATTCTTTGTATAGCTCCCCTCCTGGAGCATATTCCAACATCAGGTAGATCCGTGTTCTGTCATGAAAGTAGTTATAAAATCTCAAAATATTTGGATGCCTAAAAAAGCCAGAAAGGTCATGTTTGGTAGCTGAAAGTCAAACAAGTACCACAACACCGAAGCCAAATGTTAAGGTAGCTTCTTGATTCCAACCACCACATTCCTATTCAGTTGGATCAGGAGTGTTATGAAAGCTTGCACATGTGGGAAAATAATAATCCCATGGTTTAGTTGGTCTAGTGGTGAATTAAATGGATCAGGTATGTACAAACCAGGCACAATACATTACTAACAGAAGGATATAGGACAACTGGACTTAAGTAGCACTGGCTGCTGACTTAACAGGAGTAGAAGCCATGTTGTAGAAATGGTGCTTGTTATTTTAGAGGTCTAGGGGAGAAAGGCTAAAGCATTCCCCCGAGGGTTAGTGGGATGGATTTGGAGCTGCTGTAACAATTTATGAATGCTGTATGTGACCTGGCTTTTGGCATGTTTACTGCACTGAGTTTATTTGATAATAAGATTGTCAGGATATGCAAGAAGCCAGGACAATTGCCCCGATAACAGACTTTCAGCAAGCACCCAGGAATATGGACTTTAATGTTACTACCCACACTTTTTTTAAGCTATCTGAACTGATTTAACTAGGCTCAGAAAACACAGGAGAACAATAAGACTTGGGGCTGGATAAAGAGTCACTAAAGAGAGGGAGGGTGAAGCCAGGTTCCAGAAGTGGAGTGTCTGGGATATTAGACCTGAGTACGGTCTCTGCTAAGGGACAGCAAGCCTTTAAGGCAAGACAGATATGTAGGTAACCCTTTTATTGCTTTAACAAATTTTTGTCTTATGCTTTGTTCATGCTGTTAAGATTAAACTCTTTCCACTAGTCACAAGCGGGAAGAACTGCAGGTATCCAAACCTACTTGGGCTTTTTGGGGTGAGCACAGACAATACACAGGGTACTGTCGCCTCAGAGTTGGTGGGAGAAGGGCACAAGGCTGAACACCTGAGGGGGTGCATTTGGCTCAGAGGTGCAGTTAGCCTTGTAACTGTGATAGTCAGGAATTAGGTCAGTCAGAAGCATGTGGAGATTGGTACAACTGAACCATGTTAGAAATCAAGACAGCAAGCTCAGCATCTCAGCTTTCCCAATGAGATCCTCTTTAGTTTGAAACTGAACAGTGATCAGAATTAGGTCTCTCCAGAGTCTAGCCTGAAGTAGACAACTGGAAAAGGCAAGGGAACAATTTTTTTGGGAGGGGGGTTGGAGGCCCACCAGCGGCACACCATTTCGTTTGGTGTATATTTCTTAGATAATAGCAATGATCAATGGAGTTTGTAGGGATAGATCTCAGAGCTATTTTCTTCACCCATATGACAAACTAATGAGGGCACCCTCTACCTTCTTTCCCACCTCTCAAGTTCACCAATTCAGGCTAAGTTGTTTTGAAGTAAGGTAATCATGTTTTCTACTTCTGTGTATCACCAAAAAGGCAACCCAGAAGACTGGATCCAGTTTGTCGAGCTTGCCACTCGGGTGGTCTAGGATGAACGGCAGTCTGGCTTATGCTGAAGTGGAGGGTGCAAAAACTAAGTCAGCCAGGGATACCAGCATTCCTCAGGCTGTAAATCCCACTGCATGGTTATTTTATTTACTTTCAGCACAGCTGCTTACCTGAGATGACTCAAAATTTCTATTTCTCTTCGGAGCTGGTGCTCCAGTTGTGATTTCTCCAGGGCAGACTTGAAGATGACTTTTAGGGCTAGGATGAAGTGGGTACTCTGTTCACGAGCCAAATAAACGGTTCCAAATCGACCTTTCCCAAGTGGCCGCCCAATTTCAAAGTCATCAATGCACCACATTTTCCTGCATGCAGTATAAGAGTCAGTATTAAAGCTATAACATTAGTAATTCCCAGTAAATGGAGAAATATCGGACAAATTCAATCTTGCTGTAAAGCAGATGTCACTGCATCTGCTTAACCATATCATGAGGGGGTCAGTATATTTCAACATGTTTAAGTTTTCTGTTTACTACATTTAGATATTCAATAGCATACAAGTGAATGGGTAGACAAAAAGTTATTGAAGACAGTCAACTTTCCCCAGTGTAAGCCCTCCATGCTAAAATAGTAGGACTATTTTAAATAGTCCTACTATTTTAGCAAAGTAAATGTATATAAATAAAGCCTTGGTAGACTCAATTCTAACCTCCAAGTTACTTGAAAAAAATAGGGCTCAGGTTATCAGGGTCATACATGCACCTATATGTTCAGTTGTGCTTAATTTGCACATGCAAATGGAGAACTGGATACTTGCCTGCCCATGTATGCTCACCTGCCATGCTTATCTGCCATGATTTCACATGTAAGCGCCTGCACTTTTGCATATGCACATTGCTGGAAAATCTAGGCCTTAAATACTATTCTCTACAATGTAAGATATACAGAGTTCTAAATATCTTAGGGGAAAGGCCCTTTAAATATCCATATCTTTTAAACCCAACTCAGGAAATCTGCAAGACAGTTCTTACACAGTAAAAAAGCTAGTAGTTCCATAGTATCTAGAGGTTTGGGATGATCTGGAGACTTCTACAGCAAACAATATTAATGCTCCAGAAGCAGCAAATTGAGATATTTTCTGAATAGTTACCTTGGCAGCTGAGAAACAGAGGCACGTTTGGTGTCCATTTCTGAACCATCTTCCTCATCTGTAAAACAAATACATCAGCTTTGGAACAGAAATTGTGTCTTTTTATGCTGTAGCTTGTAGAGTGGATCTGAGAGCTTTTGGATGGATGAATGGGGGAGGAAGTCTTCACTGAATAGGAATTCTACCGTGAAAACAGACAGCCCTAGGAACGTTTGGACATAGTGTTAATGTGAGACATCGTGTCACCCATTAATTGTGGTGGCAATAAAGTGCAATTTAAAATAATAGGATGAAGATGGAAGGGTGGGTGAGTGATGACCAGAACCCAGAGTTAAAACAGTGATTGCTATCTCATGATGGAAGGGGACTGAAGAAGCTGGCATGCCCAGGCAACTCTTGCATCCTTGAATAGGAAGATTATCACTGAAACTACCAGCATGTTTAACATAAGAGTCAAGGGGGAATCTCAGACTGTCCTTAAAGGAAAACTGCACCTAATTTTATTAATCAGTCTAAATGTGTCTGGAGCACAATAAGCATCAATTGTCTCTGGGCCAATTTCTGCCCCTTGGTACATGGAGCTCCAGTTGACTAGGAATAAACACACCATTAAAAAAAAGTTTCACAGTCTCATTTTTATCTTTGTAGAAGGTCCTGTGTCTTTTGTACCATTAAATACTGAGAGTTCTTTTTAAGGCTGAACTGCCCTTTACATATTATTGACATTTGTATTGTTTCTGCATTTCTTTATAAATTAAGAGACCATGAACTGGGAAGCAACACTTCTTTGCTCAGGAACCCATTGAAATGCAGTTATTGACAGGATGCAGCCTGTCCCTGCCTGGTTTGTTGGAGCTCAGCTAGGCTACTTTTGACCAGGTGAAAAAACACCCCTATTTCAGTTACTTCTGCTGTTATCACCCGGCTTACAGGTTTGTTTGTTTGTTTTTAAAGCAATGAAAGCATCTCACAAGCTTCTTGGTACACATAAACTCCTTAACAGTGGAAGTTATGGGACTAGTGCCTACATTGGAAGCTTTCAGAGCCAGTCAAGTCTCAACCAGATTTTTAATGGAAAGCATGAATCAGGAGTAGAGAATCTTATTTCACCCTCACCCCACCAAAGTCGTCACTGGTCAAATAACTGCTGGATTACTCCTTGCCCAATTTCAACTCCACTACTTTGCCTTTATATTTTTTGAAGTTATGGTTGAAACTGTAAGCAGTTCTTTGGCAAGTGGGAGACCCCTTCAGGATGTCTGGGAACTGGAAAATTCCCATCTCCACGTAACCTGTGGGATGGGTCCAGCTATGGTTTGAATGAGTAACATACCCTTAGATTCTGATCCTGTTTTGGTTTTCCTTAGGATATTCTTGATTGTTGGAGAAGACGGCCCCTTGCAGGAAAACACTGAAATGCAGGAACTACTCATATGTTTTCTCATGTTCTTCTGGTGCACATCTGAGCTGCTTATAGTCATTGGCTTTGGAGACAACTTTAACAGTGAAAATCCAAGAGACAAGAAAACTATGAGGTTAGATTATAAATTCTTTGGGGCAGGGACATCTTTTTGTTCTGTGTCTGTACAGCCCCTTATCACCAATGGGCCCTGGTTAGCGGGTACGGCTTCTCAGCCCTATCACAATACAAGTAATAATAAAAAAAATTAGGCTATACTATACATAAATAAATGTGCACTGTATCGCTCAAGAGTCTTGAGGTGTCAGCTTTCAATGTTGTGTCTATTGATCTGTACTGAAAACAACAGGCCAATTTATCATCTGATGATTGTTCAGTGGCCAATAGAATGAGTGGTCTCAGTACCAAATGGACAACTATCCAGCCTCTCAGAAGCCACCATCATAATTTGCACCATTATCAGCAGCAGTCATAGCTTGCATCAGTCTCAACTACTGTTGATGGTCCCCTAATATCAGCATTAAGGCTCATTGACAGGCTGATTCTTTTTTGTGCCTCAATAGAGGACTTCAATCTCTAGTGCTTTTAGACTGGCATTTTGTCACCAATGATAAATTCACTCAGAACTCTAGCCTAGCCTAGGGAACAGTGTAAGGTTGATAATGGCTTAGGTCTCATGTGATAATGCAGTCAATTAGTAGTTCAATAAAAATGGTAGCTTTTTCTTTAGTGTTGCACAAGAAAACAAGCATGATGCATACTACTGCAAGCAGTCAAACAAAGAGGCAGGATCTTAACACAAATGCTAACCTAACGCCAGTGAATGGCCTCCCAGCCCATATGCCACAACGACCTACCTTTTTGCCACCTCTGATGTGGCATGTAGCTTCAGTCGCTTTGCTTTCCATGGGGTAATTACGTGCTTAAAGAAAAGGATACCAGGGAGAAAGAATCATAGTGTCATAGCACTGAATATTATGGCACAAATAGATACTTGCTATGCAAATAGAGGCTCAGCTAGCTGAGAGATAAAAACCTCCACATTGCAAGACTTACACAGGAAGAGCTGGGGCCAGTTTGAGCAAATCCAGGGCAGCCTGAAGTTGGCACTCTAGAGACTGAAATCAAGAACTTACATTTGTTAAACTGAGTTAGTCAATAGTCACTCCCAGCCTCCCCCACACCTTGATGTGCCCGCTGTCCACTGCTCTCTTCAGCTGGCAGTTCTCCATTGCCCCTCTGATTTAAATGCCTGCCACAGCCCAACTCCCACTCTAACATCTCACTTTCAGGAAGTTTCCTATTAGCATGGGTGTAAGAGGATGAAACGAGAATTCTTTGGCCTCCATACTGTTCTCAGGAGTGGTTACTGATTTGGGGTGCCTAATTTTAGAATAGCCCCAATTTTTCAGCACCCTCCCTCTGAGAATCAGGCCCTTTTAAAGTGTGTCAAGCTGGGTACCTATAATCACATTGAAATCTTAGCCATCCTTTGTAAGCTGCTATGTTCCTCCACTAGTCATTGTGAGCATGTAGAGATTTTATCCAATCACTTACACCTGGTAAGATAGTTAGACCAGATCTCATTTAATCAGGCACACATGTTTCACAAGAGCTAAGGCTTTAACAAGAAAATAGGCACAATAGTCACACATAAACCTGCTCTAACAAGCAGTTTATAGGTATCAAACAGACCAAAGCTTGGCCGGAAACTAAGCTGCACTTCTGTAGTTTTAGGTAGAGAAGTTATCATTTAAGAACATTTTGTAAGGCATTAAAACCCTCTAAATGAGTATTTTAGGATTCATTAACATATGTACTAAGAGAATACTGTGTTTCATTTCCAATACAATAGCAAGATATACCTATATTAAAACATGGATGCCCACAATTAAAGGGTTTTTGTGTTCCAGGAGCCTTGATAACTTTCTAATGAAATCAGCTAAAGTAAAATAAATAGATCAGATTGACAGCACTCCAATAAGGCTACAGATCTAGAGGTATGCCTGGATCTCAGTTCTGACCTTCAGTAGGTTCTACTCCATAGCCACTCCCACCAGCTAGCATTAGAAACACAAATTAGTTCTAAAAGCTCCCTTTATGTAGAAGGCCAGGGTCATCTGACACCCCTTAGGCCTTAAAGTCAGACTCCCCACATCTGATTTCTAAAATGTGAAACTGAGGCACAGAGGGAAGCAGTAACTTGCCCAGGGTCACACAGTAAGTCAATCACAGAGCCAGAAAAAGGATCCAGAACTTGTTCCAGGCTTGTGCCTAATGTTAATATAATATAGTTAGATTTAGAAATGAGCCAAGGAATGAACAACGATTCATTTGCTTTGATTACAGAGCAATAAATTACAGATCTTTACACACATGCTTTGAATCAACGCACAACTTAATACACTATATAAACCTAAATAAAGGAAGAGAAATTCCTTTTCTGATGAATGAATTAATGTTTTGCAAAGCGCTTTGGGAATCAGTGTGACAGGTTAAGAGCTATTGTATTACTCATTATATTAGCAATGGACACAAACCACAAACACAAACCCTAAACCCCTGAATCTTAGCATCTCAAAGAAATCATAGTGTCATAGCGGTGAACATTATGGGGTAGGGTTAGGGTTGGAATCTGAACCCAGAACTGGTTCTCAGTTTGGAGGCCAGTCCTGAGTTCTGCAGTCTCAAATCCCAATTCTAAACTTTAAGGAATCAGAATCCAAACCTGGATTTGAATGTCACAGTTCATCCCTCACTCTAGGACAGGCAAACCCTGAAAACCCTGACATCAAAACTGAAAATCCCAGCATCTGTTGATGCCTGGGCACATCTCTAATCACAATTATATTTATATATCAATGTTAGACAGCAACTGCCTGGGAGTGAGGAGACCGTGGGGATGTTCCTGTCTCTGCTACTGATTCATAGTGCAACCTTTGTCAACTAACTTATTTTCTTTGTGCCTCAGTTTCTCCACCTGCAAAATGGGGATAATGATTCTTACCCATCTTTGCAAAGTGCTTTGAGATCTACAGGTGAAATAAGTGTTATGATTATAATTAAATTTAGTGGTTTCTCCAAGTAGTTACAACTGGGAAATATGATAAACCGGAATTACCTGGGGAAAGACACCTCTCCAGGGGCCAGTTATAGACTACCTTGTATACATGTTAAGGCATTGGCCCTGCAAACACTCGTGCACACACTTGAATAGTCCAGTTGAAATCATTGAGGCTGCTTGTAAGCGTAAAGTGAAGAATGTGCTTAAGTTTTTGCAGAGCCAGGATCTAAGTGTTGTAATTTTACATATTTTTTTTTCAAATATTATTTTTCAGTCCTGGGCAAATCAATTGCAGTATTAACAATCTTCATGATTTTATCACAAACCTTGTGATATTTAACGTTTTTTCTCAAAGCTTCAACTTCTGGAGATGTTATTTCATGGGAAGCTCAGGGGCGGGCTTTTGTTTAAGCAAGTTTCTGTTCTTCACAGTTGCAGAGAAAAGCCAGAAAACATGGCCCAGATGCACTCTAAAGCTCAGAAATCAAAAGAACACCACATTTATCATTTGTTAAAAACCCCTGATTTCTAAGACTATCTCATGATTCTTGTGGCCCTAATTCATGATTTTTCCCTGCCTGGGTTAGCAGTGCAGAAATTGCTCCACATTACATACTAAATACTGGCAAAACAGTTTTTAAAAACGCGTTCTAAGAACAACATTTGTAAGGCTACCATTTACTGAAAACACCAAAACAATATTTCCTTTCAACTTGAAATGGCTTAAATGTAGGCTACGAAGACCATCTTTTCATAAGGACATTGAGGAGGGTGTGGGGTGAGATGGAGATATGTATGGGCAGTCCTTTGTTTATGTGAACTCATTTTTAATTTATGGAATAGGTGCCCAAAGCACTGGATGTGCAATTGTAGTTGTATTTGGTACATATAAATCAATACAGATACCAATCCATTGCTATGTAATCAAGCCATCTATTTCCAGCATTGGTAGAGCACCTATCCTCATAGCATTTAAGCACCTCTGTGGAGCCTGCAGACTGTTGGAAACTAAATCTTTCCTATCAAATATAAGCTTCTAACAAGTGAGAACATTAAAAGTAAGTTTAATACGAGAGTCTGTAGTTGGGTCCCTGCTCCTGATTGCACATCACCTTTATGAGCAGCAATGTTACTACTGAGTGAAAATCATTACAGTTGCAAGGAATCTTCTCAGCTGTTCAGCTGAGCTGTAATTTTGCATGGAAAATCCTTCACTTCAAACCCATAGTGCTGGCCTTGACACTGAGCACTGATGTTCTTTGTATTTGCCTTCTGTGTTGAGGGAGCCTGAATGCCGAGTCAAAACATTCTGTGGAGGAGAGAGGCTCCCTAGACAAGAGGATGTTGGAGGGCTGGATCTTCTTCAGCTCCTAGCACAGTATTGTTTTCTGAAACAATGCACTGTGTCCTGGTTCATGGGCCATATTTACTCAGAGGAACATAGTCAACTACAGGGTCACTCGTGTAATTCATAAAGCTTTGTTCTCTACTTTGGGATGGCGTCACCAAGCAAACAGCCTGTCTCACTGCAGAATTGTATTTTTCATTCATGACAGGAGACGGTTTCCTGAAGAGTTCTCTTCTGTCTCTACCTGGCATTAAGCAGCTGGCACTAGAGTTCCAGCATTCAACAGTGGGTTTTGTTATTTGCTGGTCACAAATGGAAGAGCTACTAGAAAGGTATTCGCAAAAAGAAAAGGAGTACTTGTGGCACCTTAGAGACTAACAAATTTATTTGTGCATAAGCTTTTGTGAGCTACAGCTCACTTCGTTGGAAAGGTATTGAAAACGGGAGAGAGTACAGGATTTAGGTAGCAGACATATATTAAACTGATATTGATCAACTGAGTGATAGATTCTTTCCATGTTAGGTATCTGTGGTGCTACAAATGCTGGATTTCTGAACAGATATACAGATATACATTTCATTAAAAACTATGCTAAAAGAATGCTATTTAGGTTTCAATGTCAAGAATTCAAAAGTTAGGAAATGCCAGATTTAGTACTGCCTCTGCCTCTTGATTGCGTCCATCCTGTGCACTGAATGAGACAGGAGTCCCATGGAAAAAAAACAGTATATGATCATGTCATTGACGACAGCATCATAATGTATATGCATAGCAGGGCCGAACAAAGGTTACACACAGGTGTTATGGCTTAATTTAGTTTCTGAAGCACACTACAATTAAAACGTGCTATAGAACATATTGTCATTATTGTTTCTTATGCTGTTCCTGTTTATTGCTCTTTACTGGTTTGAATGTCTGATGTTGGTTTTGCACATGTGAACACATACAAAACCTCAATCATTACTCAGTCATTGAGGACTTTGTTTTATTGATATAGTTTCAGTTTATTAAAAATTAATATATTTAACAAAGAATAACTTAGCACTTTAATAGTGCTTCACATATCCAAAGTACTGTAGAGATATTAACTCCTGAATGTTCCCCCTAATCTAAAATGGTTTCATGATACAGTTAACTGGATATTTGGTCTTCCTAATGGCACAGAGAGTACACTTATAAAGTTTGCAAATGATACCAATCTGGAATGGGTTGCAAGTGCTTTGGAGGATAGAATGAAAATTCAAAATGATCTGGACAACCTGGAGAAATGATCTGAAGGAAAGAGGTTGAAATTCAATAAGTACAAATGCTAAGTACTCCACTTAGGAAGTAACAATCAGTTGCACACATACAAAATGGGAAATGATGGCCTAGGAAGGAGTACTGCAGAAAGGGATCTGGGGGTCATAGTGGATCACAAGCTAAATTTGAGTCAACAGTGTAATGCTGTTGCAAAAAAAGCAAACATAATTCTGGGATGTATTAGCAGGAGTGTTGTAAGCAAGACAGGAGAAATAATTCTTCTGCTCTACTCTGTGCTTATTAGGCCTCCACTGAGTATTGTGTCCAGTTATGGGTGCCACATTTCAGGAAAAACATGGACAAATTGAAGAAAGTCCAGAGAAGAGCAACAAAAATGATTAAGGGTCTAGAAAACATGACCTATTAGGAAAGATTGAAAAAAAACTGGGTTTGTTTTGTCTGAAGGAGTGAAGATTGAGAAGGGACATGATAATAGTTTTCAAGTACATAAAAGGTTGTTACAAGTAGGAGGGAGAACATTTTTTTCTCATTAACCTCTGAGGATAGGACAAGAAGC